TGTGTCCCAACAATGAGAACCAAAACAGATGTAAGCAGCATCAAGTGGGGACACCCCATGTAAATGGTAGAAAACACACACTTCCTTCTTAGTAGGCAGTAAATTCATCAAGCCTTGAGGCTTTCAGGTTTTAAAATCCTGCTCTTCAGAAAACCTTATTGATAATCTGCATTACAAAAATTAAGAATCTTTCAGAAAATGACTGCTTCACAATCCAGAACCCATAACTCATGCCCTGTGATTCAAGACAGGTGTCTTCATATGTACAAACATTGATCTCAGAGTTTCAGACTTCCAAAGATACACAGTGCTTCACAACCTTGAATTCAGGTGTCTTGTTTTGTTTTGTTTTTGAACACCCTGTTACTCGAAATGCAGCCTCAAGTAACCACCGATCTCTGATATACTCATGAGGAGATAGCTTGCAAAATATATACTGCAAAGCCACAGATACGCTCTTACTACATTAATGCAGCTTCTGCTATTGTTATCTTATAAATAAGACCATAGAGGAGTGGCTTAGACAGAAAATTATCTAGGGGCAGCCACATTACCACGGAAAATGGGGCCATAGGGATTACCAGAGACACTGGATCTCCCAGTGAAAGCAATGACATCTGCAGATATCCCAGGGGATCTCAGAGTACCTATGAATTAGTGACTGTGTACCCAGATATCTAGAAGGATAATCACCAAGTCATTATTGGCCATGTGCTTTGCCAATTTCACCTCGTTAATCCTCAACACACCTGCAAGGCAGAAATTTGAGGGGAGGGGGAGGATTAATCCTATTCATAAATCCCACCAACATTTTATGGACAAAAGAACTGAAAACAATCATAAATCCCACCAACATTTTATGGACAAAAGAAGAGAAAACAATCCCCTAGTCACAAGTCTGCCACAAAGAACTCCCAATCTACTCTCAGCACCTGCGTGATTTCGACTGTCAGCATCTACTGCACAGCACTCGCCAGAAAGATCTCATTTGCTAACCGAGGTCAGGTCTCAGGAGTAGTCTCCCAGGAAACCAAACCCATCTCCTACTATAGCACTTACCAGCTGCTAATCAAGCTGTGCATCTTCAGGTTAAGCAAGGAACACCACAAACTTTCCACTCCATGAATAAGGCAGGATCACCAGGGAGACAGCCAACACAAGGAACTCAAGGGCCCGCGGCATTCTGCTTTAAACAAATCAGTGCATTGGCACTGGAGATGGGGTAGGCAAAAAGCCCCAATCCACCCCCCCAAAAAAATCCCACACCTTATTTTAGTCCATCTTGCATATGGAGCAAGGCATCTGTTCCCACCTGACGTGTGTGTGATGAACCGGTGCATACAGTTCATGTACTGAAGTGTTTGACACATTCCTAGCATGGTAGGTTGAAGCCCAAGAGTTTGTAATGAGGCCACAGATGCAATGCTGAAGCGGGTAGTGAGCTGACCCAGCTGACAAACGGTCTAGGGTACATTTCTCTTCTGCTAACCTTTCAATATCCAATGACACGCACCTGGTAAGAGTAAAGTCACTGTGGCTGTTTCTCTCCTCCCCCCTTCAAATACGGTTGCAGCAGTTTTTGGAACGACAATCTGAACTCTGCAAGACGCTCCTCTCCCATAACTCTTCCTGACAACAGGGCTTCTCAAGGAGGCTTTAAGAGGAGCAAGAGGGGAGGGAAGTGAAAACACACTGCATTTCAATCCACTGGGACTGGTCTCAACAACTTGTTGACCCTGGGAAATTAGTGAAAAGGCTACACAACAGCCAGGAGCCCGCAGCTAAACGGTTAAGAGAGGGATGTTTATAGGGAGAGAGCTAAGATGACAGTACCAGTGAAAGACCCGAAGTTCTGCTCAAAAGAAAGATTTGGGAATAAATTCCTTCAAAATCTTGCTAAGAAGTTTTAGTTTTCAGTTAAATTCAGATATCAGGAGTCAGCTATATTTCTTCTTCTACCTACCTACAAGACTTCCTAATTATTTGGATAGAATATTAAGTACTTCGAGATCACCTGTCAACAGATGCAAAACATTATAACAGATCCCTCTTAACTGGGTCAGCCACTGAGCTAGCTTATCTTCCCAAATTTCGTTTACATAAGAAGCCATCTGAGGATTTAAAATTAAAAGTAAGATTTTACTTTTAAACACAGACGCCTGTCTATGTTTAAAAGTAGAAACACCTTTTCTAGAAAAGGTGTTTCTAGGCTTTAGAAACATAGGCTTTTTTTAGAAAATATAGGCTTTTATTCTAAGGCCTATATGTTTCTAGGCTTTAGAAACATATAGGCTTTAGAAACACCTATATGTTTCTAAAGCCTCTTGCCAGAACCAGAGGCTTTAGAAAAAGGTGCAAAAATTCTCACAGGCAGACATGAAAATTTGCTGCCTCCTAATCCTCATAGCTAGAGATTTGTTTGAGGCCTCAAATAAGTTGTTATCTCCTTTCCAAAAGTCTCTAATGATACTATGGCTCTGGGTAGTGTATCCATGTCAGTGTCCAACCTTTCTATCTATCTTGTTATATCACTGGCCTCAATGATAGCCTGGCCTCTTCCTCCTTTCTAAAGTAAATGTTCTCTCTCAACAGAAGTTTTCCCAGGCCCCTCTATTCTTACTGCTCTTCCCCAAGCCCTCTTTAATTCTGCAATATCCCTTTTGAGATAGGGTGACCACACGGTAGTTATCCAAATGAGTCTGCAACCTGGATTCATTTAACAGTAATTAATATGCTCCTAATCATACATTATATGAAAACAAATTCTTTTCTGCAGCATTTTTCACTGCCTTTCCACTTCATCCCATTCCAAATGTGACTTAACACTAGCTTTTTCTTTGCACCAGAGCAGCACACTAAATATTAGTCTAAACTGAACATTTCCTGACTTGTTCCTAACAGAATCCTGGATGGCATGAGTAGCTCAAGATTTACTCTTTAATGCACAAAATGTTTGCAAGTTATTGCTTATTAATTTATTCCAGCTCTTCTGCCTTGATTTTGATTACCATATTTTCCTCAATACCAGGAAAGAACAAGCATCCCCAAACCACCCTTTGGTGAATGCCACTGAAAGAAAGCCTAATGTATGCTACTTGATTTCACTAGGAACCAAATCCTGAAGGATATGTTTGGCCAGAACAACCCCTTGTACCTGGTCATATAACTTTCCTGGTTTCACCAAGCAGTGTTTGTGAACACTACCCAAACAAAGCCACACTGCCATTCACAAGTATTCAGATAAAAATTAGATCCATAAATGACACTCCAGTTTGATAGGTTTCCTAAGCATGTCCTGGTTGGTCAGCATGGACTATACGCTAAGATCATCATCCATGAGATTTCTATAGTGCCTTTTAGCCCTAAGGATCCCAAGCTCTGCACAAAGCATCAGAGGTCTGGCTGCCCTTAGTGTGGAGGTTAGCAGTCACAACAGTGGGGGTGGCGGAGGATTCGAATATCAAGGACACTTGAGGGCAAATGGCTACTTTTACATAAAGTGCCACGGGATGTTTAGAGGCCACGCAAAGGCAGACGTGAGCTCAGTTTGGAGGCAACATCCAAACTGTTATGTTAATTTAGGACGCCCATCAGTTAGATAAGAATACCGCCAGGGACAACTTAAACGGCAAGAGCAGCCCCAAGTATCAGTCAAGTCGAGGAAAGGCAGACAGACCTCCTTCCTATCATGAAAATAGCTTGCCAGAGAAACGGGAAAGGCACTTTCTGCCTTGCACCAGAGGTGTTACTGCAGAGGTTGTGCGTTGACCCTCAGAAGGCAGAGGCTGCCAGGGCCGCCAGCACTGAACAAGAGGCACAAGCAACTGACCTGTGCCCGGGAACCAGGAGAGGTGAAACCAGAGACATACACAGAGAAAAGGAATTCAGAGGGTCCTGGGGCCATTGTACGAAGGCCTGGCTCAGCTAACGTTTAGTCCTTTTAAGATATTTTTTTCCCTTCTTTGGTCTAGACAAGTGAGAGAGAGAGAGCAGGGAGAGAGAGAAATTCAAATCAGTAAACACAGAAGGCACTTTCCGAAGCCCAAAGAGCCAAAGGGAAAGTCAGAGGGTGACACGCTCTCCTGAGGCACTCACTATTTTGTGAACAAGTGCCTTGCTGCTTTTTCTTTAGCCTAGGGTTTATTATGTCAGAAAGGTTCATCCTTTGCAGCTGCCTAATTGTGGGTGGTATTTTGTAAGCCACACACTGAACATTAAACTTTTTAAAAGGCCAATTTAATTAGAATCCAAAATACCAAACATCAGCCAAACTCTGAACAGTCATAAACTTATTATGACTCAGAGAACTGATCAGTGTGACCCAGGGAAGCTTCTTCAGCTAAAATTAGAAAAAGAATCTGTATTTTATTTCAGGCTCCAGCAGTTTCGATTACTGAGCTTTCAGCACTGTCCCTTAATAACCTGCAAGCAACCTTCAGGACAAACAGCGGATGCAAATCTAATACAGAGGATCCAATCTTCTTGGGGCATGTGGGTGGGAAGTAGTAGACAGACATTCTCCATGCGGAAGGGGTCCATTTCCTGCTTACTTTTCACCCCTGAAGTCTAGCACATGGGCATGGAATAAGCAAAATGAAGCAGTGAAGCAGACTACTTTGGCTGAATTGATTAGCTTTTAGAGTAAGAGTGTCAGTGTTCGTCTTGCTGTGGTAGGATGCAGCACACAACATTAATCGCTGTATCACTAGATGTCCTGACTCTCAGGGATTTAACAAATTCATTGTTTGCATCAAGCCACAAAAATAAATTCTCAAGTTGTCCAGGGTTTACAGAAGGAGTTCTAATATCAAAATCCTGTACGTAAAGGTCGCATTATAACTCTGTAGGAGGAAATGTGATCTCGTGATCAGAGCACGAGGCCACTGTATCCTGTCTCCCAGTTCTACAACAGCTCTGCCATTTGGCCTCCGCCAGGCTTTGCAGGTAGCACAGCTCAAAAATTTAACACTTGTTCCCAACTCTTTTTATTTTGTTCCTACCTCTTACCCACAGCACACGGCCTTGTCAGAATGACATCGAACAAAATACTCAAGTCCATTCTACTGGTCCAGAAGTTTCCCCAGCTTAGACTCTCACAGGAAGGCGGAATTGCTGCCCATGAAGACTAACAGGCAAGGTATTAGAATAACTAATGTTTGTTAAGTCACGCTCTGGAAAGACAGTGGTACATGTAGACCAGAGACTCTTCTTGGACCACTGTGGTTTCTTCCCCCGATTTCTTCTATTCCAACACTCTTGTCTTGCACAGGCAGAAATGGCACAGAACTGGAAAGGACCAAGTATGTCAGAGTCCAGACCTTTGCAATGACAGGCAACAGTGTAATCACATATTTGTTCCAGGCATCCCCAAGAGCATCCTCTCCTCCAGCATGCCACAGCCACAATGCACCCCCTGAGAAACTCAGAGCTGTTTGTACTAAAGACTCTGCAAGCTACAACGCACCACAGGAAGAAAGCAGCAAAGACAAAGATGAACGTACAGGGTCCTCAGCCTTGGTAGCTAATGCGGGGGGGAGCTGTTCGATAATCAATGTCCAGCTGATCGCAAGAAATGAATATGGCACCACGGTTCCTGAGGACAGAAGGGAAGGGGAGAGCCCTACACAGTGGTCCCTGCTGATCTGACTTTGGGGAAAATTCCAACTGGACCCCAAATCTGATGATCAGTTTAACTGTACGTATATAAGCCAGATCCACCAGCCAGGCACCTGAAGATGCATCTACACTGCAGTGACAACAGCCTGCACAGACAAAACTCACACCAAGTTAACTAGCTTAGGTGCTGGGGACAGACTAGCCATAGTGACAGGAAGCTCAGCGTGGGCTAACTGAGCAAGTAATAAATAGTCAGAGTTTGAGATATGCCTTTTTGTAGTAGCTAACTGGATTCCCATATTATAGTCATGTCTTCAAAGTATCTCTATATGCTTTCCAAATCACCTTTGAGGCTGTTATAAGTTTGGCATACTGAAACTGTAAAAAGGCAAGAAACCTAAATACACACCTAAAACTGGCCAAAAAGGGAACTATCCTATTTCTGGTTCCTTCTCTGCCTATGAATCCTAGTTTTATGGTTATTAAAATCAGACTGCCAATCATTCCAGATTATGCCACGGTTTCAGTATGTAGTCTTAAAACGCTCCACAAGAGAGATTAAAAACGTGTTGGCAAGCAGCAGGAATTCATCCCCCCCTTAGCCAGGCACAATTTGTGATGAATCACTCCAATTTACAGTGAGAAATTAGCATACTAATGGGGATTAAACCAATATAGTAAGGACCAGTCAGCAGCGAATAGAGGCCATGCTTTAAAAAGAGTAATCTGACCTTTGGTGTTTAATCATTTTGCTACATACATTTCCTACCCCTTAGTACATCCCATTTTGCTACCACCTTGGGCAAGTGTACTTTACCCTTTTCAACACAGCATCTTGAATTATTTGAAGGGTAAACTCACTGCAAAAAACAACTGCCACCTAGATTTAGGAACCGCCATTTCAACAATGTGTCCAATGCATGCGTCTAACAGGAAGGCTTTTTTCCCCTTTTTCTTGCAGAAAGTACTGTACAAGTTGCTGTCTCTTAGAGCACTGGAGTTTGACAGTTCAATATTATATGTGTGTTATACAGAACATACCATAACATGCATATCCATATATATTAACAATGTATGTAAAATTATCATTCCTCTTATTCTATACGTATTGTATCACCTTCTTTCAAACTCATTTTAAATTCATGTATTGATTCAGTGTGGGGTAGGAATGGGGGGAAAATACCCATAACCAATCAGAAAGAGAAACCTGAAGATCAGATGAATTAAAGAGAAACTCTGACATACAAAAAAATAGAACTCGTTTCCATAATGAAACCTTTTATTGGACCAACTGGAAAAATCACAAGAAAAAGGGAGCTTCTAAGTGTCTTCGTATGCAGGAGAAAAGACATAAAGTGAGGAAGATAAAGGAATTAGGAGTTAAGAGGTGCATGGACAGAGTGCTGCATGCTGATACCTCTCTGACAGCTGCAATGGTAATCATGAAGAGCACTGAAGGAAAGCCATACTGAAAATACAAGCACAAAGGGACTGTTTGGCAAGTCTCATGAGCCCAGCATAGGATGGACACAAGGAGGACAATGCCATTTCGAAGGAAGCTTTATTAGTTTGATTACTCTGAAGAGTAAGGGGATATGGGTGCCTCAGATCCATAGCTGGCAATCCACCCTTGGGAGACCAGACAGGTCTGTCATTTGACCCTGGAGTGGCTTTATGCCAAAGCTTACAGAGCAACCCTCAGGTAGCTTCAGGAAATCCCTAGTTCCTCTCTTTCAAGAAGCACATGCCTGGTCACAGCACTAGTGTTCAAACGGTACCAGAACCCTTAAAACTGGACATGGAAACAGAGAGTCTCTTTCAGGAAAGGTAGGCATGGGTGGCCTGGCTGGAATAGCCCTTCTGGATGTTTCATCTGATAGCCACATTAAATGCAGAGACCTTGGTAGACAAAGGTCCTTACATAAAAAAACCCTGCATATGCACTGTTGCTACCAGACTAGAGAACTGCTGACTCCCGGGAGCACTAGTGTCCTCCTGTTTTGGGGTTGTTGTTTTTTTAATTTCTATCGCTCAACAATGGGACTTGTGGGAAAGACAGAGAGTCCTTGAGCAGAGAAAGACAGGCAGTCTATTTCCAGAGCTGTCGAGGTCTTCCCGTTCAAGAAATATTTACATGTTTTGTGATCAAGGTTCATTATGAATAAGTCTATTTATAGGCAGCTGAATCACTTAAAGTTACATCCAAAGCTTTCAGTTCACTTCATCCTGGCAAGAGGAATGCTATTTTTAGCTAGAAGTTTAAGTTACATAACATTTTGGGGTCCCAAAGAAATAGCAACATTGAGTCCGATTCCAACTCCCATCCCCCTCCCCCATCAGCAAGGATGCACTTAGATCAGGGCTCTATGGACCTGACCAATTGTAAATTCCTTATACATTTTCAGCTAAGCCAAAGGAAAATCTCTTCCCCAGGCCATGTATCTTTTTCATATATAGTGCCATGAAAACATAAGCTATAGTGGGAGGGGGAAATGGTATTTGAGAGATGCTGATTTTGCTCACTTCTTCCAGTGCAGACATAGTACAATTCTCTTTCTGGCTTACCTTTTTTGGGGGAAGATATTGCTACTAAAGAGGCTTCATGGAGACTTTGTTGTTATAATTACTGCTATCTAGTATTGTAATCATTATTTTGCTTTACTCACCCACACGGAAAATTGTATGTGTGATCTTACAAAAGGCTATGTTTGAAATCAGATACAACCTCCAAACTCAACACAAAGCAGGAGAAGCTGCTATGAAGGGAGCAGAAACTGGTTTTTGACCTGCCTGGTTTTAAAGATGACGACTCCTTCCTCTAGTTTGACTGACGTAGCAAGGACATTTGCGAGCACCTGTCAGAGCTGTACAAGAAGTGTTTCTCAGAATGTTTCCCATTTTCCAGGAACTTCACGTGTCACCAAAGGCCCCCAACCCAAAAAGGACATCCTCTCAATCCAACAGGAAAGCCTCCTCTAGGAGACTTAGTGCAAAAAACCATTGCTCTCTCCTTCACATACACTCAGCAGTTTGTAGACTTGATTTTCTCCCCTTTTCCTAGTCTCTCTCATGATGAAGATAAGATACCAATAACATTCAGTATATGGAACTGAAATAATTATTGAAAAGCAATACAAGGCTGCAGGTGTCTCCAAATCCACTGGGCTGTGTTTTATACAACCAGTTTTACATTCAAGAGTCCCCTGTGGTTCAGTGGTAGCATCTTTGTCTACCACACAGGAAACCTGGGCTTGATTCCCAGACGCTTATACAACTATAGCCATGAAGGCACCAAATGTCTGGACTCAGTCTGGTCTTTGGATTCTTGTCTCAGTGACCCAAAGGGAGGATGGAAGGTCTGGGCAGCCTCCACTCCTCCAAAAATCCCTGCCCAGACAGATGCATCGAAGGTCTGGATGGCCCTCATGCATACACCAGGACCCAGGAGGATTGAGGGTTGCCACTCCTGAAATGCATCCTGTGGGGAGCTCCAAATGGAAAATTGGTTCTTCTGTGTAAGAAGGGTAAAAGGTAACCACACCAGGCATTCTGAAGAGCAATGCTGAGAGCCAATTCCCCACAAGCACAACCACTGGAGCTTGCCACCAAAGGAAAATTCCCTTTGTAGTGGAGATCCAGCTTTATTTGTCTCAAGAACTAGAACAACTCAAGGCTGGACCCAGTTAGCCCCTTTTGCATCTTCATAGTATGAACAAAAGTGAATTTCAACAATGGGGAGTCCCCCTGGAGTGTTCTTCTAGCAGCTCGTTTGAGCCAGACCCTTTCCCCTTGCTTCATGTATTTCCAATCCCTTGAGTACTCAGAGCAGACAGGGCCGAGCACTTAGGAATATTCCTCAAATGGAATGGGACTGCCTACCTTGCATGTTAAAAACATGTCTTTCACGAGTGGCCACATCCACTTTAAGGATTTAACTTGCACTCCCCTGTGCATTTTCACTTCCCTTAAGCTGCTGCTTCCAACATTTGTTCTGGATTCGGCCAGTCTGCGTGTTCCACAGTCCCTCTTTTGCTGCAGCTCATGACCTTTTGCATCCAGGCTGGACAAGGGACAAAGGCAGATGGATGTCACCATAGCAGTACTTCTGCTCTGCTCCTTAACCAACTTAACTAGCTTTTAGTAACAGCAACAGCCAGCTTATGAGTCAGAGATGACTAGGAAACATCAATAGGTGTGGCTCAGAAGAAAGTTGACTGTTAAAATCTCCTGAATTTTTCCTCTGAAAACAAGAGAAAAAGGAAGATACTGTACAAGCTTCTCTTCAGTTGTTTGAAGTTGTTCTTTTTTTTTTTCCTTTTCTTCCATTCATACTTCCTCTCTGCCCTTTTTCTACTTTCCTATTTCTTCCTCTTACATACCTTCTAGGAGTTCAGCACGTGTCCCTAAGGGTACACATAACCCAGTTTGCAAGCTGAACTACTTAATGATTTACTTGCTCACAATTTGTCTGCAGCAGTCAGTGTTTGCTAGTTGTGTGTCGGCTTGATTATACAACAAGATCACGGCAGCAGTCTGTGAATGAGCTGTTACTTTGCACAGGTCTGGAGCACTGCAAGAAGCCAGTGTGAGAAAGTGAAAGATGTGGGAGGAAGAGGCACAGCAAGGGTTGAATATAAGAGCTAACATGACAAACCACTAAAATGTGGTGCAGGGGCTCAATATAACCCATGGGGCTTTAACACAGCAGTTCATGATGCGAATAACATACATCCCAGTATGACCCAAGCAGTCAAGCTGAGCTACAGCAAGGCGTATGGGACCCCTGGTCTTTCTGGGCTGCCCCCTCCATATACAAGCTGAGGGGGGAGTCAGTCAGCTCCATTTTATGCATGTTCAGTGGCAAGTTGCCAACACAACTGTTGACTGAGCCAGATCTGGGCCCTGTTGAACTAAGCCATCACCTAAAGCAGTGTGGAAAAGCACATGCCTCTCGCATCTAGAGCAGCCAAGTTCCTGGAAAGCATCTGAGTTACAGGATAGATTTTTTTTCTTCCTCCGAAAGTCACTGATGTTTTTAACCCTTTGATAGGCAGACACCAATTCAATCCAAAGATGCTGCTGCATTGTGCCACTTGGCTGCATTGGCACCATAAGAGTTAAGAGATGTACTTAAAGCAAGTGGGCTTATTGACTGGATAGCCCAAAAAACACTTGAGGCCAGCTCCTGAACCAGAGGGCAGTAATCATCTCATTCTACATCTTGTTAACGTTCTCAGCCAGGGTGTTGGTGGCTGCTTTCCAACTGGAACTTACTCTGATACGCGAGAAGGCAGTACTAGCTGAGAGACAGCCATTTGATTGGTTTGGTTTGTTTGCTCCTTTCCCTCCAAGTCAGGGTCAAGGCATGCTGGCAGTGATTACGTGCAAAGTATCAGTGTCCCAAAGCTTTGCCCTCCAGAATAGAAATCATTTCTGGACCAATTCTTTTATCACTTGGCAGGAAAATCCCTATGCTGGCTTCAGCAGTCAAAGGGAGGCTATAATTATATCAAGTAATTCAGTTCTTGGGCTTTGTTCTGTTATAATAATAGCAATAATTAACAAGACTTCAAAGGATCCAGACCTGTTGTTCCCCCCAAGCTTTTTGCCATCACTCTTCACTTCAGGGAACCAGATTGATGGCTACTCTGTGCCATTTTTATTCCAGGGCTGCACTCAGCTCCCTCAGCACATGTAAACTGGTAGGTGATATTTATGTTGGCAACTAGCTACCATACTTTATAGAAGCAGACCTCTGCCTGACCCTTACCCTGCTGCTCCCACACAGGCGCAGTCCATTTCTGTGCACTAGAACAGACTGGCTAAAGACAGAGGTGCCGAGAGAGCTGTCTGAAATCACACTCCCAGGGTGGAGTCAGCAAGCTCATGGCAAGCAGCCTACATTACAGGCAAGGCCCAAGTCTGTAGTCATCACTCAGACTAGATCCCCATAGAAATGCACAGGAGACCTGCCTACACAGGCCCTGGCTTTCCTTCCATCAGTCTTGCTTAGGACACAGAAGAGCCACAATACTGCACACATTTCTGTAACAGCCTCCCGAGTTTTACTGCACTGTTAACTTAAAAAAAAATACAGCCTCAGCAGATTATATTAAACATTTGGGGATGTGTAACATCTCAGGAGACTCCAGACTTTTATGCTGGAACTCTTCTTCCACACCATAATGAGCATGTAATAAGACAATGAATCCAGATGATCATATCCGTACCTACACACAGACCCAACGCTCCACTCATTCACACTGGTTCAGTTCAGGACTCCTTCTATTGAGCTCAACAGGGTGTAAAGCAAGAATGGAATATTTATAACTGTACTGCAGCAGTCCATAACTGCCCTTTCCCCCATGACAAACCAGAGCTCTGAAGTGCCAGACACTGCATGAATCATAACAGAATAAGGGCTGCACATTTTTGTGTCCTCTGGATGACAAACACAAGCATGTTGCAGACATTAACTGAACAGAACAGCAACCAAACCCCTCTCTTGTTACTAGCTGGAACAAGGGAGTTGAACATTGCAGTCTGGGAAATGAGAGCAGCTTCACCCTGATGAATGTCTGGGCACAGTGCTCTCCTTGTTCATTGTGACCATCAGGAATACCTGCTGCTCTGACAGAAGGTATTAAAGTGACAGCAGTCATGCCCTATGTTTATCTGCTCATCTTTGCTCTTAGGCTTATTTTTCTAGTAGCAACTTCTCTAGATTTAAATCAAAATTGTTTTACTTAGCAAGGAAACAATTTGCAGCTTGGTAGGAATCCAACACATTGTAAATGGTATATTTATGCAGCACAATCCTTTGGCAAAGAGTTATTTTTCTACTGCCATTTTTCAGATGAATGTTTGCAGGATATAAGCTCCTAGCAGTTTGTCTACAAAGCACTAAGTACACAAAGTTTATGTATTTCTGTTGTCACTATTATTCTTTTAGGGAATAACTCAAAACAGGTTATTTCTTCTTCCAAGTGCCACACACCTGTATCGCTACCCCAGTGCAGACACTACCTTTCACACGAGGCACTGTGAACACTCACAATGGTGCTGTTACCTCTGCTCTCCTTGCAGCTGGAATTTCACCTAGGCCACCTTCGTGCCCTAGGGCAGGAAGTCTTCCAATTTTTACTTAGGAAATTGATCCTCAGGAGAATTGCAGTATTTTATTTTTTTACTTCTCTGGCTCCAAAGTCAGATGGTTCTCTCTGTAGCAAAAGAGTGGAAAGACTCTCCCTCCTTCACAAATGGTTTCTGTAAAAAATGCCTCATTTTCTGTAGCGCACAGCACGAGGCTTTAGCTACTATACTTGCAAATCCTATCTGCCTTATTTTGGCAGTACCAACTGATGGAAAAGGATGCTCTTTGCTTGTCATTCAGTGACTCAGTGTTTTTTCCGGTTAAAATAATTACCACTTAGTTCACCAAAACCATTCAGAGCGTGAAGGGAGAGCAGATTAATCTTAGTGAGAAATTAAACGTCTTTTTCTACAAGTCTAATCTACAGTCAGGTGTGACACTGAGGATCTTAATCACTTACTCATTCGATGGACTGAGCAATGAAAGCAACAACTGTTATGCAAGCAGGTTCACATAAGGTCAGCAAGCGCGTTCTAGAGTAGCTGCATCTGCGAGCCACTACAGCAATGTCTACACTAGGATGCTTTGGCTAAGATTCCCAGCTGCTGCCACCACCATCTCAGCTGTGCTGCTGGTAGCAGTGGTGGAAGAGACAGTGCAGACAAGCTCCCTGTGCACTCGAGCACTCAATCACCTTGCTGTCTAATCCACAACACAGCAGGTCTCCATGGCAAGGCACCTCGAACACCTGCCCTCGGTACGCCAGATCTCCCCCCCCAGACACTGACAAGGGCAAGGACGGCAGGGAATTTCTGCTACAACTCCCTGAAGGAGACAAAACCTGAGTACAGGCTGGTGGGGCGTGCTGCTGGCCCCAGGTGTACGCCAGCACCTCCAGATAGATCCTGGGAAGCCATTCCGCTCTCAATGGCGGGAGACTGGAGCCAATCTGGCCGAGCCCTCCGCTGCCCAAAGTCTTGTCATCCAAAACAAAGGATGGGCTGCCAAGGCCAGCACGCAGGTTGGCCACAAACCAGCCCCAGCTGTGGGCAGCCTGCTCAGCTCCCTCTCCGGAGGGATAGCTCCGCACGTATCGGAAGTGGGTGCCTCTGGGACCTGTCACCCATAGATGAGCAGGGGGAGCCCAACAGGGCGAGGGCAGGGACTGGGGAGCTCCGGAGGATGCTGGCACAAGGATGGGCTGCCAAGGCCAGCACGCAGGTTGGCCACAAACCAGCCCCAGCTGTGGGCAGCCTGCTCAGCTCCCTCTCCGGAGGGATAGCTCCGCACGTATCGGAAGTGGGTGCCTCTGGGACCTGTCACCCATAGATGAGCAGGGGGAGCCCAACAGGGCGAGGGCAGGGACTGGGGAGCTCCGGAGGATGCTGGCACAGGGGCTCCAGGGATGGCGCAGAGTGGCTATAGCCTGGCCACAACACCCACCACCCT